TTTTATATATTCTATCTTACAGTCCATGGGAGCTCTTTTTAACTGGAACTAAATCTTGATTCTGACTCTAGAAGCTTTTTTTAACTGGAGCTGAGTCTTGATTAATTCTGATTCCAGGAGCTTTTTTTGACTGGAGCTGAGTCTTGATTCTAGCTCTAGTTAAAAAGGACTTCTGTAATCAGAATCAAGACTTAGCTTTAGTTAAAAAAAGTTTCCATAGACCGTGAGGTAGGGTATATAAGACTTTTATAAATAATTTTTAAAGTATTTTATATAAGGCTTTTGCAGATGATTTTTATATTTTATTTATTATCTTTTATCTATTTTTTTAATTCTTGATTATAGATTCAGAAGATTATATATTTTATAAATATTAGTTTCTAATACTGGAAGAAATTTCAGTTTATTTAATAGCTAAAGTCTGCTTCAGTATATTATTTTTTTTTAATTATAAAATCTGATAAAACTTGATTTACTTTATATTTTATTATATAATTAAATTATATTTAGTTATTAAAAATTTTATCCAGTACTGGGATCATGATAATATTAACTATTTTTATTTTATTTTAATAAAATAAAAATAGTTAAAATATTTATTTAAGTTTTTATATCTTTTTTTTCTTTTTATTTCCTGCCTGTCAGAGAATAGTAGGTCTATAATTTATAAAATTTATAATATTTATAATAACTTTTTTAATTATCTTAACTAATTTATTAATCAGCTGGCACAGAAATAGATATCCTAGAAGAAAAAAATTCTTCAGAATCTGGAGAATATATATTAAAAGTTTTATAAATATTATTACTAGTTTTATCAGGCTGAAGACTATATTTATATAATTATAATAATTCTAGATCTTATATTAAAACTAAAAAAATTTAAGAAAAATATCTAGTTAGATAATAATATTAATTAATATCTTAAATATTAAATTATCTTTAAAAAGATCTTCTATTTTTACTGCCAGCAAAATTCTATTATTAATATATTATTTATAATTTCTAGTATATTCTCAGATTTAGATAAGATTTTTTATAATATTTTAAAGTACTAGAAGCTTTTATTTTTTATAATAATTTTTAAGAAGTTCAAGATTTATCTTAATATTAAAGATATATAGACTATTAAAAACTAGAATAATAAATTAATTATATTAAAAATTATATTTATACTAATAATTATCTAAAAATTACTAGATATTCTGATATTCTTGCCTACTAGAAGTCCTGTTATAATTAATTTTCTAATTTTTTATTATATAATTAAAAACTTTTTAACTATTATAATTAATAATATTAATATTTATTTTTTTAAAAATTCTTAGAATATCTATTATTATTACCAGAGTTATCTATATCCTGAGATTATTAAAGCTCTTATATTCTAGATATATACTGATTACTTTACTATTACTAAGAAATATCAGGATATTCTTAATAATCTTTCTCCGGATTCTATTATATTTACAGTTGAGGATTGAGAAGATAATAAGCTAATAATAATTTTCTATATTAATAAGAATAAGAATATAGATAATTTTAATACTAATTCTGAAAATAAAATATTATTAAAAAAAAGATCTAATTCTTTCTCAGTTTAATAATATTATATGTATCCAGATATAAATAGATATTTAAATTATATAATTTTTTTATTATTATAACTACTGACTAGAATAATATAAAAAATAATTTAAATAGTAATTAATATATTTCTCTCCAGTAGTCTAATTTAATTATATTCAGATTTCTAGTATTATTTATAAAAGTCTAATATAGGAGCGACTAGGCTGCTGGCTATTAATTAGAAAATTAAATTATTATTAATTAATAACTAATTTAATATTTATTTTAATAATACAGTAATTAAAAATATATTACCACCGGTATATTATTCTTGTAAAGACTCTGTATAAATTATTAATTAATCTATAATTATTAATCTTCTGAGTATACCTGATCTTTCTAACTAGTGGTTAAGATTAGTTAAAATAATCTCTTAACTATAACCTATCCTTAACTGTACAGTTAAAAGAATTCTTATACCTTAACCTAACCGTCAGGTTACGGTTAAGGTTAGGTTAAGGTATAACAGTCAGGTATAACCACTCTAATAAGAAGAAATAGCTGGTATTTAAACAGGGATCTCAGGGTTTCCATGATTTCATATATATAATAATTAGTCAGCTGGCAATAATAAGACTAGTTAACTAAGTTTCTTATAATATAAAAATTTAATTAATATTATTGCATTTCTTTTTAGTAATCTGAGATAAAGTTGAAATATAATATTTCAGTATTTTCTTTATTTTTTTGCTATATTAAGAATCTAGATAATAAATTTTATATATAATCTTTTGATCTAGATAGCAGAGCTGTTTATTCTTTTTCTATATTTTATTTTTATAAATAGATATAATTAAGATTTAGATTTTTATCTATTCTGTTTTATATATTTATATATTATTATTTTTTATTCTTTTATTTTTTTTATTTTTTTTATTTTATATCTAAGTTCTTTTTATTATTTATTTCTTTAATTTTTTACTCATACTATAATCATTTTTATTTCTTATTTGTTTGTCTTATACTGTAGTCTTACTTTTCATAAAAAAAATCTTTATTTTTTTCTTCTTTTTTATTTTATTTTCATTTTTATATATATAGAGGGCTCAGTCATATTTATAATTATATTAAAAAAAACTATTTTATATTTATTTTTATGGTAAAAGACTTTTCTCAATTTTTTGCCTCTATCCTATTTTTAAATATATAGAAAACTCGGTTTCTTTATTTATATATATTGAGCAATTATTTTATTTATTTTTTTTCTCTCTTTTACTTTAATTATTATATATGTAAAGAATTTTACTTCTTTATTTATATTTATTCGTCTTTACTTAGTTCTTTATCTTATTTTAATTTTTTATAATAGTATTACTCACAGGTCTATTTTATCTAGATTCATAAGAATAAGTCTTATTATTTAAATATATTATGGTCCCCTACTTTTATTTTATCTTTATTAATCTATTATCTTATAATCACTTCTTCTAAGACTCGATTTATATTTATTTATTTTTATTTTCTTATGAAAATATAAAAATGATTCTTTTTTTTCTTTTCTTTATACTATTTATTATTATTATTCTATTTCTATTCTTATAATATCTGTTAGTTATCTATTTACTTTTCAAATTTTTTATATTATTTATTAATATATTATTTACCAGCTTTATTAATATTTAAGAAATATTTACTTATACTGGATTTCTATTCATCCTTATTAAAATCTCTTTATATAACCTAAATATATGGAATTTAATCAATTTATATACTTATGTTTATATTAAATGAAAAATTTAAAAAATATATTTTATTTGTTATTTTAATTGATTTTTAAGAACCATATCTGATAATTAAATTAATAAATAAAAAAGTCTGGCCAAGAATAATTGGCTAAGAATAATTTTAAAATATAAATATAAATTTTATATCATAATATATTTTTATTATTAATATAATCTTTATTTAATTATAATCTTTCTATTTATCTAGTAATATTACTGAAGATCCTTTTATTATTTTTAATTCTAATAAAAAAGTTATTATTCTATAATAATAAATATTTTAGTTCTTGATATATAAGATTATATTAATTCTAAAAATTAGAAATAAATATTTATAAATTTTGAATATTAGTTTTTAAATTTACTCTTGGCTGCTAGTATAAGTTTTTTTTATTTTTTTTAATTTAATAACATTTCCTCTGGTTCTATTGGGAGTATGTTAATTTTTAATTATATTTTCTTTAAAAAATATATATATATATATCAATAATGTTCTAAAATATTTTATTTGATTTTTGAATATTTCAGATATAGTCTATTTACTTATTTTGATAAAAAAATTTAAATACTAAACTTTCTCTAGGATAATTTTTATTAAATATTTATTCTTTATTTATATATATTACTGGACATTGCTGGTTAACTTTTTATTAAAATAAAGTATAATCTATAACTACTAGTTATAATAAATTTATATAAAATATATTATATATTCCTGCAGGAATATTAAGACAATAATATAAATTTTTAATAATTTAATATTTAATATTTAATATTTTTAGATTTAATTAAATTATGTTATTAGTCTGGTACCTAAGAGTAGAAGTTTATAGTTTATTAAGTTAATTTTTGATTTTCATCAAATATATATTAACAATATTTAAATCTAACTAATTGTTAAGTTTTTTAATAATATAAGTAATAGTCTTTATTATTAAAAATGTGATAGGATATACTTGTCAGGGTAGAAAACCTGTCAACTAGGTAAGGAATCAACCACTAAATATAATGGAATTATCTAATAATGATAAAGATAATCTATATCTATGAGATAAACTGATTCTTGAGAAATCAGTAGTCCTCTATAGAAGAATCAGCACTTTTTAGATATTCATAAAATATAAAACTATTATTAATAATCTTATAACTTTTATAATTACTATAATATATCATTCTAATGTCTAAGGCCCTGATAACTAGATTATTTTATTATAAATAATATTCTTTTTTACTGGGGCGAGCCACCTGGCTCAGGTATTAGAAATAATTTTATATATTTTTAATTCAGAATAGTAAAAAATTTATAATAAAAAGTAAGATACCAGAAGTACACAACCGGGATAGTATTATATGATAATTCTATATAGTATCACTGGTATTATAAATATTTACTATTATTAAATAATTTACAAGGATACAGAGTTTTTATCATATATTAAGATATAAATATAATACTTTTATTATATATTCTTTCTTTTTTTTATAGTTTTCTTTTTCTTAATATTTAAATATATAATCTTCTTTGCTATTTCTTCTTTTTTTTAATTATATTTAATTATTTATTCTATATTATTTTTATTATCTTATTATCAGATATTAGTCTTATTTCTAATTACTTTATAATAACCAAGAAAAAAGAATATTTTATATAATATTTATTATCTACTAGATATAAAGATATTTATTTTATATTATTTCTATTCTATAGAAAACAAGATTTATAATCCAGTAGGTTTTGCATACTCTGTATTATATATATATAATTTATCAATATTTATTAAATTTATGACTGGTCTTCTAGAAAATATTTATAATCTTATTAAGATTATTGAATAAGCTGCTGTTATTTTAAAGAAAGAATATTAAAATAATAATATAAAATAAACTATTTATAAAGAAGTTTATATTTTTATAAAAATATTTAATAGTATAGAGAGTGCTTATACTTGTAAACTTTTATAAAAATATGATAAAATTATAAAATATATAAATTTTTATAATAATTAAAAAATAAGATCTTTGTGGTTCTATTATTAATATTTTATTAAAAATTTATTACTAAGTATAGTAAGTTTATTAAGATCTATTATATTTTATTAACCTGATTAATTTTTTATTCTGATCTTTATATTTTTTTAAAAAATTATTATACTTATAAAACAGAAATATTATTATATTTATTACTAAATAATTATAAATATATAAACTGGATTTCTGCTCTGCAGAACTTTTTTAATTTTATAAAAGTTATAATAAATATTTAGTATTAGATATTAAAAATTCAGAGATAGCTTCAGATAATAAAAATAGTATTATTAAATTAGTTATAGATTTCTATATTCTTTTTCTTGAGTTAACTTTTCCAGTAAATATCTTTGAATTATAAAGAAGGCCTGGTTATTATTATTATTTAATTTATAAATAAATAATAAATATAATTATATATATTTAAATATTTTCTACTATTTTATAACAGGATGATTTATATTTATTAATATATTTAATCTGTGATATTGTAGTTAATAAATAATATTAATAAATTAATATTTCTATAATTTATTCTTAGAAAGTATAAAATAATTTATTAATAATTATCTTCTGTTTCTTTGATATATTATGTTTTTTATAGAATTTCTAATATTATTTTATAACTTTGAGTATATTTTTTATATTTTTACTAGAGATCTATTAGTTATATTTATTTAATCATTTTTTCTGTTTAATTAGATAGTAGTCTTAGCTGTTATAATATTAATAATCTTTAATTTTTTTAATTTTTTATTTATTTTTATTATCTAGTTCTAGTATCAGGAGCGGTTCTTTATAATTTTAACTAGTATTTTATAAATCTAGTAAAAGAATATAGAATATATTATAAATTTATTTATATTTCTTAAATAAATATAAGTAATATGCCTGGGATCTGATATATTTAAAAATCTAAAAAAATTTTATTAATTTTGGAGCTAATTTTCTTAATTCTTTAAATTATAGATTCTAGATTAATAGTTTTATTAGATCTCTTTCTTCAAAAAAGAATAGTTTTTTATATTTATTATAATATTTTTTTTGTCTTTCTGTAGCTGTTTATTATATTTTTTATAATTATTCTCTTATTTTATTAAGCTTCTTGATTTTATTCTGTACAGCTGGAATCTTTTATTATTAAAAATTATTCTTGATTCTGAGATAAAAGTCTGGTAAATAATTATATAGAATATTATAAGAAAATAAGCCTGTAATTATATTATCTATATTATTATAAATAAATTAAGTAGTTAGTAATATAACAGGCTATTTAATATTAACTTAATTAGAATAGTATTAAAGATAATATTCTAGAGTCTGATTTATCTATTTTATTTAATTATTAATTTAAGAATAGAATACTGTTGAAAGTTTCAAGATTATTATAAATATTATAAATTAAATTTAATTAGAATTTACTTGTAAAGAATAATTCCTGATTAGATATAATATTTATTAGAGATTTAAAGATTAATTTAACTTATTTATAGAAGAGTTTAGTAAGATTTAAAGTAGTTATTATTAATAGAATAGTAAAGAAAAGATAGTATTTTAAAAGTTAATTAATAATAATAAAAATAGTATCAACAGTTCTTTTATATTAAATAATTAAAAATAATCCTGTAATAAAATCTATTACTAATTTAATAAAGAGATAAAAAGAAATTAGTAATAATTTAAACCTGTTATATAATTGATATTTTAAAATAATATTATTTTAATATATTAAATAAGTTTAGATATATTCAGCTATATTTTAATATAATTTATTTTAATAAATTTTTTTTATAATAGTATTTTTATTTATATTTTTCCAAAGTGTCCTGCTAACAGATTATTATAATATAAATAAATAAATATTTAATATAATATCTTAGAAAATAAAATATAATAATAGTTTTTAAAATATAAATAATTTATAATTTTAATTATCTAGTTCTTCTAGCCTGATTATTTTTATTAAATAATAATTTTTTATTATTATATTTCTGGATCTTTGTTCTGTAAATATAAAATTATCTTTTAAAACTTAGAATTATATATATTTAAGTATAGAATTTCTGTAGTATACACCTGTAATACTATAGATTAAAAAATAAATCTTTTTTAAAATAAATTTTTTTAAATAGCTTAATTAGCTGTCTTTATACCAGTTTAATTATTAGAATTCTTTAAGCTTAATATAATATAGGTATTAAATCCAGAATAATCCTGTATATCTTAAGATTTAAACTAGAATTTCTCTTTAACTAAATTTTTTATTATCAGAGATAACATATCTATAAATTATTTTTAAATTAAGATTAATAAATTTTTTTATAGAGCGGGTTTTATCTAGAATTCTAAAAATATTTTAGAAAATTTATTTACTGGATTTAACTTTCCTATTCTATATTTAATAATAAAATTATAAAATATCAGGCTTATAAACTAATAAGCTTATCTTTTATTAATTCTAGTTTAATATATAAAAAATTATAAGTTTAAATAGTCAGATAAGACTTTGATTATTTAAAGAATATCTTTAAAATACTGTCATTAGTATTTAAAAAAATGAATAATAATAAATAATTCTTGATCTAGAGTACTATAATTTAGCTTAATATTAAAGAATTTATAAAATTAGAAAATAACTAGATAAAATATACTTTTATTATTAAATTAGAATAAGATATTATTTATTTCTTTCTTTAATATATTAGTTTCTAAATATCAGGGTTTTATATATATTTAAATAAATTATTTATATATATTCAAATAAATTTTTCCAGGTTTTTAATTATGAACTGATCCATGAAGTAGAAAGATAAGAAATAAAATAATTTATAAATAATTTTAAATAAATTAACAGTAGAAATTACAGAATTCTAAAAAAATCTAAATATTATAGTAACTTTCAGGAACTAGTTATAAAATAATATTATTTATTTATTAAGAATCTATGGATATTCTATCAGTATTAATAATATATTCTAGAAATTTAACTTAGGATTAGTAGAATAAATACTTAAATAATTTTCTATAAAATTAAGCTTTTCAGAGTCTTTTTAGTACTTGATAAATATATTTTATATAAAATTCTTTATCTAATAAAAAAATAAGAATATTATCTAGATATATTATATAAAAATTATCAAGAAATCCACGAAGTGCTGTATATATATAGTTTTAAAATAGTATGAAAATATTAGTTAACTTAAATAGTATAATAGTATATTTAAAATAGTTATATTAGATATAAAATACTATCTTTTATTTATTATTTTTCTTAATATAGATTTAGTAGTAGAATTTTTAATATTAATTTTTAAAAAATATTTGCTGCCCAAGACTCTGTTAAGAATTTTTAAAATAAAAGATAAAAAATAATAATTTTTAATAGAAATTTTGTTAAGATCTCTGTATTTTATATAAAGATATAAATTATTATTTTTTTAAATATAAAGAAAATAAAGGCCCCTGCAGGATTCTTTAAAAATTAAATCTAGTTTAATTTTAAATTCTTTTTAATATATTTATATAAAATCTTAAGTTTAGCTTCTGATAGAGAATATATAGAATTATAAGAAAATATTTTATTAAATTTAATATTAATAACATAGTCCGCAGGGCCATGAAAGAAAAGTTATCAAAAAAATTTATAAAAAATATATCTCAGAATCCTTAGAGCTTGATTGAGATTATCTCTAGATTTAAAAATGAATTAAAAGATTTTTTTTAGTAATTAGATATTTTCAGGAAGCTTAATAATGGCATATATTCTTATTAAATTCTAAATTACTTTATTAAATTAAATAATAAAAAAATAGATAATATATTAAATTACTATTATTAATTCCATACTGATAAGTTAATATAGAGATCTTGAAGTATAGTTATTAATAATAAAATTAAATTACTCTTTAAGTAAGAATCTTGATTAATTTTTATATAATATTATTTAAAAATATAGGTATTTCCCCGTGAATCAGTAACAGTAATAAAAACTTTCTATATATTATAAATAGAAGTAGTAATTTAGTTAATAGCTTTAATTCTAGATATAATAACTAGAGTATATTAGAGATTATAAGTCTTAGTAAATTAATAATATATAATATTTATTTTAATATAATTATCCAAGTTTATAAAGATTTCAAGACTGTTTTAGATATAAATAAAAATATAAAAATAATAAATAGTCTTTACTGTAGATAAAGAAATTAAAATTATAGAATTTACTTTAATTTCTTTACTTGTTTCTTAGAATCTGATAAATACCGGTAGATTTCAACAGATTAAATCTTCTTGCTTTTAATAGAATATTAATCTATAAAATACTAAATATTATTATATATAAAGTATTATAATTGAATATTATTTTTTTAGTAAGATTTTTCTTAAAGTTTAATATATCTTCTTTAATTAATTTATTAGAATGGCCTTAGAGGTGCTTATATAATTTATAAATATTAATTTAATTATTATTTTACTTATATTTTTATTTATTATTCTATAATTTATAATAATAGATAATAATAGCTATTATTTTATTCTATTCTTCCAGTAAATGAGGAATATATTCTTAAATATAATAATTAAAATTAGATAATAGTTCAATAAAATATAATAAAATTTTTTCTTTTTTTTCCTGATGAGGGAAGTATTACTTTAAAATATTAAAATAAATATAAAATTTTCTCAGATCTTAATTATATTACTAGTAAGCTTATTTAAGTTAAGCTATAATATCTGATTAAAAAATAATAATATTCTAGATTAGAATAAGAATCTAATTCTTAAATTAAAATTATAATTTCTTGAAAAAT